CCCCCGCCGCTGCAGTCCGTAACTGTTCGTTTCTTGAGCTGTTTAAACAGGCTGGAATTTTGGGGGACGTTTTGGCGTTGGTCGAAAATCCGTGTGTATGTGTGTAGAGAAATATGTGCAGTGTGATAGTGGTATGTTTTGAAGAGGGAGACGAAGCGAGCCCCATCCTTTCATTATCTTTGTGTGTAAATACGTTTCAACAATATTTGCTTACCCTAGGGCTTGTCAAACAGGTATGGTGTCCGACCCCCGAACAGTATGAACCCTAGGGTTGGTATTCTGCTCTGGTAGAATTTTTACCACTAAGGGTGCTTGCGTCAGTGTAAGGCTTTTAATACATTAATCTGGTAAGCCTGCATGCTGCAAGCACTGAAGTACAGCAGACCCCCCTCTCCCCCAAAACCCACTTTCTTACAGGAAAAAAAAAAAAGGCTTACTGAATTTGTTAACGTTTATATAAAATAATTCTAAATTCATATTGCCATGAAGGCTAGTGCAAAGAACTGGATTCCAGTCAGGTCTCTCTTAAGCCATTTAACACCTGACTGCCTTTATGCATATATGAATGCATAGTGCTTTACTTATTGCATATTTCGGTGATACTCAATCCGATGTTACTGGCTCTTTGTGATGTACTGTGGAGAGGACTTCACCCTTCCTTCTTCCCCTGAGCTTTGCTTGTCTTTGAAAGAATGCGTCTTTTTGCTTAAAATTACCAACAGTGAGTTGCAGGGGGAGCAACCTGTAACAACATATAACACTCAAGTAAGCATACCCTCAAAATTTCTTAGGATTCTTAAAATCTTGTGAACCATGATAACTTCTGTTTAGGATTATCCGCAAATGTTCTTCCGTGTTCTGGAATAATTATATTAAACCTTTCAGATGAAAACCACTTCTTTTTTCCAGAGAGTGGACTGTACTGTAACTCACCTCTCCTATTGAGGTTCACGTTCCTTTGAAACATTCACCATGTTGTGTTTTTCAAGTTACTTTTGGTGGATGTACTGTATCTAGTTTCTTTGTTTGACAGTTCACGTTAATTTTCTGCTTAGTACGTTGCTGCTGTCATATCAACATTGAAGATATTTTTTTTCCAAACACAGTAATAGCCATGTTACAAATGCAATAATGTATATGTTTCTACTGAACTGAAAACATTCACGCATCATTTACTGATTGTTAGTTCTTCTACTTGAAAAAGTTTCCTGTTCATAAAACCTAGAATAATACAAGTTCCTTGGTGTTATTTAGTTGTTACTCCATTGTTATATTAAATAAGGACGACTGTGGATAATATATTGATTAAATCTTAAATAGAAATTGTTGTGATGCAGGGAGAGGAAAACAACAGTCTGAGGTTCTTAAATTCACAGCAGTTAAGGGACTTGGTTAACTAGTCAGGATGCAATTTTGCGAGCATTTAGTGTACAAGTTAAGTTTGTTTCGTTTGTCTGTCTGGTTTTTTTTTTCCCCTTAAATCTGAGAAATTGCATATGCTGTAGCTATGAGAGAGACCTAATGTGCCTGAGAGAAGTAAAGAGCCATTAGTGGTTAAGGCAGTAAGTTGATTTTATTCATATGTAGTTTTCCATCATGTCATTTGATTCTTTACATGATAGAAATATTTATTGTGCTAAAAATCTGTTTGTCACTAGCTTTCTTTTTCTCTTCTGACTTTGAAAATTTGGGAAGACAAGTTAAGGGTCACTTAACTATCTTTATAAAATGGAAATAGGAGCATTTTCTCGCTGTTTGTTTTAGTCTTATGATGACATTTTTCCGAGCAAGAATTAAGACTTGCTTTGTGCATGGTGTATCACACATCAGGTCCTTTCTAGATTAGGTACATAGGACAGAGGTGACTGGAAACATAGAAAGGAGAGGCCTTTACACTTTTGCCTTTTTCACGCCTTCCCCCTTTTTTTATTTCTCTTACCCTTTTTCTAGTTTTATTTCACTAATTTAATGTTTTCTTTCACTCAGTCTCTTAATATTTTTAATAGAAATTTATTAACATAGCTTCTGTATCTTAAAGCCATGTCTTATTTGAAGGACTCAGTCTGTTTGTCCTGCTGTATAGTATGATAAGCTGCACAGGCTCTGCATAATACTCTGTGTTTAGAAGTTTTTTCTTTTTGTGATCTTGATCACAGTTTTCGGGTTTTGTGGGTTTTTAAATATAACACCAAAAACGTCTCATGGAAGTTTGAGGTGAACGTGGAAACTGGCAGTATACACTGCTAATATGTTTAGTGTGTTCCTGTCCAAAATTCTCAGTTACAGCTGAAGTACCCAAACAGAAGTGCCCCCTTCCCCTCCCCCCCC